GACTATGTCATCATACAGGTCAAAATAGCAAAGAGAGTCAGAGAACAAAAGAGGAGAACTGAAGGAATCAAGATGATTAACACACATCCCAGAGAAGTCAGATAGAAAAACTGTAGAGGAAGGCACATTAACTGCATCCCTGGATCTTTGCCCTGAGATGAGCAGTGGAAAAAAAATCTATTATGGAAGATGTCAGTGCACACAATACATAGGGCCTCTGTCAGGTGCTACGAAGAAACTTGGGCCAACACAAGAGAACCAACAACAAACAGAAACAAAAATTAAATCCAGATGACCTAAAGAACTAAATATAAGACAAAGAAAATGAAGGGATGAGGAAAAAAGAAAGAACACTTAAAAATTACTGAACTAAAATAATATAATCATAGTCTTCTAACCTTGGAAGTAAAAGGATTTCTTGAGCAATAGAGGAAACCCAAAAGAAAGAAAGGTTAAATTCAACCAGATGCAAATTGAAAACTACTGTCTGGGAGACTACACCACAGCCAGAAAGAAAAGGTAAATCAGTGGTTTGGAAGAAGTCTTTGCAATACGTAACAGCCAATTCTCAAAGACTCTCCTAGTGATTAATGATAGTAGGGTATTATGATCATGTTTCAATGAAAAGCAAAACTAATAATAAAAAAAGGTATGGGCTGGCACCATGACATAGCAAGTTAAGCCATCATCTGTAGTCCCAGTTTGGAGTTTTGGAGTTTAAGCTGCTCCACTTTCAATCTAGATCCCTGCAAACGGCCTGGGAAAGAGCAGAGTATCGCCCTAGTCCTTACTAAAGGCTAGAAGTGAGGGAGGACAAAGAGCATGGGTAATGGGTACCAAGTCACAGAGCGAATAGGTCCCTAGTGGTACACAGCTACTGTAATTTTTTTAAACATTTATATTTTTATTTGAAAGGTAGAGTTACATGGAGAGAAGGAGAGATAAAGAAAGATCTTCCATCTACTGGTTCACTCCCCAAAAGGCTGTAATGGCTAAAGTTGACCTGATGTGAAGCCAGGACCCTGGACCTTCTGGGTCTCCGACATGGGTAAAGTGGCCCAAACACTTGGGCCATCTCGTGCTACCTTCCCAGGCCATGAGCAAGAAGCTGGATGGAGAATGATTCAGCCTGGACATGAACTGGCACGATACAGGATACCAGTGCCACAGATGGAAGCTTAGCCTACTATGCCATGGTGCTATGACCCAACAGCTATTAGAATATTACAAGAAGCATTAAAGAACCCTAAGGTTCTTATTATAAAGTGATATCAAAGAAGGAGAAATGCTGATCACCTGTATTTGATCAGTACATATCGTATACAAGTATTGAAACCTTACACTGAAGTCCATAAACATGTAGACTTGCTGTTAATAATTTTTTTTTTTAATATTGGGCCAGTGTTGTGGTGTAACAGGTGAAGCTGCCACCTGCAATGCTGGCATCCCATATGGGCAGCAGTTTCCTGCCTAGCTGCTGCACTTCTGATCAGATCCCTTCTAATGGTCTGGAAAAGGCAGCAGAAGAAGGCCCAAGTGTTTGGGTAGCTGACACCCATGTGAGAGATCTGCACGAAGCTCTTCGTTCCTGGCTTCAACCTGGACAAGTCATCTAGGGAGTGACCCAGCAGAGAGATTTTTTTCTGAAAGAGATCTCTCTCTCTCTCTTTCTCTCCTGGTCTATAACTCTTTCAAATAAATGCACAAATTTTTTTTAAAGTAATTTATATCAGAATATTAGTCATTCTGACTACACAATAATAATGTTCCATTTGATCATTTTATAGCACCACCTCCCCCATCATCAAAAAGCAAGCGGAAATAAATGTCAAAAAAATTTTAAAGCCTATGTAAAGTATGGTACATTACACAATAAAATATGATGTCACAGTTCTTTGCTGCGCTTTTAAGAGTTTCAAAGGGCAGGAGGAAACACTTTTAATGTTAGGCACGCAAAGGAACGCTAAAACATCTCCACCTAAAACTTTAACGGGTTCCTATTAATTCTCAAGTTATTCAATTTTCTAACATCTGTCTGTCTCCTTTCCAGCTTCCTATCTTTCTTCAACTTCTGGGGTAATTGAATTTAAAAACCTTAAGTACAATCATTCCTTTTGTATTTAGGAAGCTCGCCAGCTACCAAAATAGGCATACACCATGAATAGATGAGGGCCGACAAAGACAGTGTCTCAGAAAGAGACTCTAACTACCACTCCAGGGATGCATGATGTAGCCTCCCTCTGGGGATTCAACAAAGTAAGTAAGGCTGTGACGAAATCTGCTTAAGAATAAATCATACATTCAGACAAGGAACAATTATGTTGCCTGCTATCAACTATGTGCCATTAAAAAACTATTTCATCTTCAAGTACTCAGCTTTTAAGTAAACAAAACACACTGTAGTGAAAGAAGAGTTCCAGAAGATCATTCAACTATTTATGATGTAACTATCAAATCAAATGCAAGAAAGGCAAACGAACAATGTCTGCTCAGAGCATTTGTGTTAATGTTAAACACTAAAGCCTACAGAACCAGCCTGTTGGTTGTTAAAAAGGCTTGCGAGGGATCTTTGCTATCTGGTATACGTGGAGCTATTTTCCCTTATAGTCACTTGTTCAAAAATGGGTCTCTCCATACAAAAAATTACAATGAACAGATGCTTGACAAGAGATGCTGAAACTGTAATTAGCCCACATATGTGTGCAATATTCATATAGACTTCCTTGTGATTCTATCTTTATACTCTTTCTGTATAACAGACTAAGGTCAGCAAGTCTCTTAAGAACTTTTTATTATAAGTGATATTTTTTCTCTCAAAAATGAATTCTACAACATAAATGACTATCATCTTTTCTAAACAGAAGTTGGCCTTTCCCCCTAAAATACATTAATATAAAATAGCTATTGTTTAAACTTAGAATAAGCCATATCACAACAACTAATATTAAGTATGCAACTAATCTACTCTTCAAATTCCTAATATTTCAGAAGACATAAATTTCTTAATTATTAATATGAAATCATCTGTGGTTTTCCAACTTTCATATTCATAGTGTCTCTGCCTAGAAAACCCCAATAATGGGTGTTCAGTTGAGTCTCAAGATTTCCCATTCCAGCAAGTAAGGCTTTGCACACAAAAAAAAACCTTACCATTTAATTCTATTTATCAATGAACTGCTTGAAGTATCCTTGTATATACACATTAGACTTTCTTCAAACTATAAGTGCACAGATAGTGAGAACTAGATGGAAGTTTTGAATAGAGGAATAGTGTTTGATGATCTCACCGCCAGATGCTCAGTTAATTTTGAATGCTTTAAAATGTCTTTAAATATAACAGTTTCTAAGTAGGTTGATCCTGAAAGCAATGCACATTACATTTGCTAACCCTTACAAACACAGAAACCCTATAAATTAGCAAATAACTATGGAGGAGAAAACTGTAACTAACAGATGTTCTGCAACTTCAAAAACAGGATTCAAATGTGAGTGGTTTTCAGTCCAGACCACAAGCTCTCTGTCTAACACCTTGATGCTTCTGATAGCAACACCAGGAATTTTGAAGAAAAAACTGGTCTTGAAATTGATAATCACAAACATTTTTAAAAATCCAGTCTTAAAGATAACAATGGTAAATTAGTTTCTTCAAAAAGAACTGATTTTCACTATTCCTGGTACATCTAAAGGAAATGATCATATAGCTAAACAGCACTGCCAGGAGTGCAACACACAACCCTGTCCCAAATTAGTTACAGATGTACAACTTAAAATGTTTCAATGAAGAATCAAGCTAATATCACTATAATCCAGTGCTCAGCTTGGCTTTCCCAGTGGCAGAAACCAGAGCAATTCTCTGCTTTGAGACAAGATGAGAAGACAACACTAGGGTGATCTCTAGTCAAAAAAAAGGTTGCTTTGATTTAATCATGCATGTTGGCCTAATCTCCAATTTCAGGAATTACAAGAACCACAGACGTAAACGACATGATGCCAGGAGGAAGAAGAAAAAAAAATTCAGAGATTTTCTCTAGCGCAACTTCAACAAGTAGATATCACACACACACAAAAAAAAACCCTGTTTCAGATTAAGAAACTTAAGGGAAATGACATCCAGATGGAGAACCAAATTCTGCTTCAGACAATCAGTGCCACTGTGAACAACTGTGAAAATCTGAATATGACAGGATAATGTACAATGTTAACAATGATTATCAATGACATTGGCTGTGATAAAGATAAGGATTCTTTGGGACAATGTTCCTAGTTTTTTTTTTTATTTTAATTTTTGAAAATTATACAATTTTGTATAGTCCGGGATTCCCCTCCCCCCATTTTCCACCCCTTGATGGATTTTTCCCATAATGTCAATATTCTCAGTTTTAAGAGAAACATTCTGAAGTATTTAAATACAAAATGTTAGAATGTCACCTTTTACTTTAAAATACTTTAACCAAGAAGCTGCAGTAAAAATGCAACAATGAGAGATCTGGAATTGTAGCAATGCAGAACAATCCCAGCTAGGTGACAAGCAAAGCTGATTTCACACTGCTGTCTTCCACGGGAATTACTTCCCTTAAACACTAACATTCTTTGTTCTAAATACATTCCTACAAATAAAGAAGCAAAGTTCACAAGTTTAGATAATATTTGAAGAATGGGGGTTAAACTTTAATGACATACTAACAACTGATGGATCATGGTACGCTTAAGTAACTGGAGTTGACAGTGCTGATTGTTACCTGGGAATAATATAAAGACAACCATGGAAAGGTAGTAAACTTTGCATTTTAAGTGACATAAAATCACTCTTGTGCAGACACACAAGCAGGAGAAACCTACATGGAAGTGCTCTTCAGAGAACCTCGCCTAGGACAAGTATCAAAAGGTGTTGGTGTCTATTCGCTCAAGGAAATGTACCATTGAAACAAGCAGCACCTGTCTTTGGGTGTGAAAATTAGTTTTTCAAAAATAGAAACAAAACAAGAACAATAAAAACAGACCTGAGGCCCAGCTGCCTGCAGACCACTTCTGCATCTGCATCATCCCATTGGTCATCACAGACTGTTCCCCACTGGCCAGCATGGTAGAGCTCCACACGACCTTCATGCACACTGCTGCCACCAACCAGGCGAATGACAGGGAGCACTGCATCTGTGCATGGTGAAATGCAAAACAAACGAGACCTGTACGTTTACACTGGCCAATAAGATCAGAGCCATCCACTTCTCTACACTGTCAGTAATTAAACCTAGCTATACCAGTGATAAAGACACACACATCTAAAACTAACAAATATTACAGTAATCGCGACCTGTTAATAAATGGAATTATTTTCATAGAACTAGCCATTAAAAGAGTCTAAAATTCGATCTTCCCCAACAATTTCAGAAACCAAAAAAAGCATACTCAAAAACTGCAGATTACTGGAAACAAGCTATCTTTTGGTGATATTACTGGTGCTCAGGTGAACATATGCATCTGCATACTTAAACCATACGGCTTAACCATACTTAACCATATCTACTATATGAAGTTCACCAAAAGCCATTATCCAACCCAGTCATCCAATTTTTGAGAAATATGTTCTCCACAACCCAAAGAAAAACAATGCTATCATGGCTGAAATACATTCTAAATACAAAAAAATTGTATGGTACTTCCTGTATTTCATATTTAGTTTCAAAATATTTGCCATTTTGATTTCATCATGATATCTTATTTCTTAGTATTTCCTGTATATTGTATTGTATGTGATTCTCTATTACATATATAGGATATAATATTTCTTTAAGCAACTATATAACCTAGGATAAAAATGAGATATTATTTTGAAAGTCAAATAGAATTTATGTTGTTAGATATGTTCATACCAAAGATTTGAAAATAGGATATGATAATTTAGATTTATTTCAGCATTTAAACTTCTTATGAAACCAATTTAAGTAAGACATTCTTATCAGCTGCAATCATACTTAAAACACAATGAAAAGTACAATAATAAAATGTATGCTCACCATGGTAAGAGCTGCATGTGACAGCAGCTGCCATCTTCTGAGGACACGGCCCACCCTGCCAGATGTCTTTTTCACACAGCAGTATATTTTCTTCATCTCCACGGCAACGGACATTGCTCCAATAAACGGGAATAAGGCCCAGTACAGAAAATGAAGTTTGTTTGGCTATTCCTTTTCCTCTGGAAGTACAGTGAGCTAGATTAGATTTATCAAATGCAGGCAAAGTTTTGTATCGCAGTTTTTGGACTTCCAAAAAAAAAAAATCCATAAAGATGAATGTGAAAAAAAAAAGGAGCACACAGGATCACCTATTTCAAGGAGATCAAAACATCAGGTGAGAACTTGAGTTCACCTGTAGCCATCAGTTTATCCATTATTTTATTCTTTAGTCTCTGATTTGGAAGAAAACGCACAAGTACCACAGTTATAAAAGCCAGCCCAGGTGGCTTAATGCAAGAAGAGTGTCAAAAAGCCCCAGGGAAGCTGAGATTCTGGTCTGAACTCAGCTAAAAGTCTCTCTGATGCTCTGCCTTCGAATGTACAAGACAAGAAATCTGGATACCTGGAGAGTCTTGCCAATCTGAATATGCTAGGCTTGCATATTCAAAATGATAGCTATCACCATCTCTGAGTTACAGTATTAAGAGGTAACTGAATTAAAATCAATAAACCTTACTGATTTATTATTTTTATTTGAAGGCAGACTCAGAGGACAGACAGAAGAAGGACCTTCCATCCACTGGTTCAGTCTCCAAAATGCTGCAATGACTGGAGTTGAGCCAGTCCAAAGCCAGAAGTCAGGAACCTTTTCTGGATTTCCCACTTAGGTGCAGAAGCCCCACAAATCTAATCTCATATTTTTAGATGTAAACTCTGACGTATACAAATTGATATTAAATTGTTAAAAGATTAATCATTTATCTGATTTATCTGGTAATCTCTCTACAGTTGTATCCATGACTACGGCTTCCATCCAAACAGTAAACATCTGGATTATATTTAAAATATGAAATATGTCCTCATACAATGAACTGAGTCAGTTGCTCTTCTCTACTGTGCAAGAGTGTGCGTGTGTGTGTGTGTGTGTGTTTGATGGACCACTGGGAGATGATCTAAGCAATGGCCTTGGCTTATCTGAACTCTACATCTGCAGAATGGTGGTTTACAAATGTTCTTTCATCAATCAAAAGACATAAACACCCTGCAGTTTATACCGCCACTAGAGTGCTCTTGCCGTCTTTACGTCTCATAAGAAAGGATATTGCTTTTTGATTTTTAAGCATAATAAAAGCACATGTAGATATGACATGGAAGAAAATCCTTTTGCCAGCACAGAGTTTTAATCTCAGGGGCCTCAAAGGAAAATCATCAAATCAACATTCTTTATGACCTACAATTTACTGTCAATTAAACACACATGGATAAAATCAATAATTAACATCTCCAAGCACCTTAACACTTAATTGATTCTGCCATTGCTCTTTCTTATATCCTACAGTATATTTACCCCATCAAAGGAGTAATTAACTAAATTTAATTGAATTCATTAATCCTATCTAAAAGCACCCAAAATCTAAACAAAGATTAGGCTTCCCAGGTTAGCCTTACCAAATTTCTCATTCTTCAATGTTCCCAATGGAAACACAGGAAGAATTTGGCAAATCGAAACCCTACCACTTTGTATCATCATACCAGATAATTAGCACTCATTTACTATTAAGCCAAACTATCTGTAAACCACAAAGCTGTTTTTGGCCTTTAGTTCTGCATTTTCATAACAAGAGGTTTTCCAAAACAAGATATTTTCCATACTTTCTAAAGGCAAGAGCAAGGAAAAACATATCTATCAATACTAAGACAAAAACTACAACAAAAAAGAACAATGTCAACAAAAAATATAGATTTTGTTCTAATATAGAGTCTTCTTTGTCTAATGAACCCTTATAGCATGTCTTAAAGACACTAAACCTGGTAGGAGTCTGTGCAAGACAGTTCCAAGGGTTATAAGCTACATTAGTGCCTGCCTGGCTGTCCTTGGGATGGTCAGATAAGGCAGGAGCTGATGGAAGTTGTCATCTCTCACAGGATCTCCCCAGAGCAGAAACTTAAAGCCTGGGACCTCACCCCTCATCAACTACAAGTAAAAGAGCACAGGGACACAGCACGCCTTCATGTCTACAGAAGCAGAATTTGTGGATGGCTAATGCAAAGTTAAAAACAAATAATAGCAACTTAACTAAGGCTGTGCAGATTACTGAGAGACTATAATTTTGACAATCAAATTATCTGATTCCCAGGCCTAAACAATTATTTTGTCAGAGAAAAAGAAGAAAATACGCTTTCCCTGAGAAGCAGTAGAAAATGGCCCAAGTACTTAAGTCCCTGCTATCCAAATGGGAAAAACCTCTGCTGAGTTTTGGGCCCCTGGCTTCAGTCTGTCCCACTCCCAGCCTCGGCAGGCAGTTAGGGAGGAAACCAGCAGATGCAAGAGCCCTCTGTTTGCCTTTCAAATGAATAAATTGTGTTTTGTTTTGATTTTTTTAGACATGCTTTTAATATTTGCCCATTTAGCATTCGTCCATTTCCTAGTTCAGCAGGGGTAGTAATTTATTAAATACATATGAACAGGAAATTTCATTCTTTCCAATTAAGACCCTCTGGATTTCTCTTTTGTGAAAAATGTGGATGAAGAAAGTGACAGGAAGAGAGACATAACCTTTCCACAGACCTGGCAGGTGCCCAACATCATCCTTGGACATTTGCAGACTGGCTTGCTCAGGGATGTGAACTCACCCCAGCTGCAGCTGGTGACAAATGACTGATGCATCAGAATCATCCCAGTGGCTGCTACAGATGGCACCCCAGGCTCCACCTGCATACACTTCCACTGTGCCTTCGAATTCATTTCTGCCTCCATGAAGTCGTACTGATCCTAGAGAGGAAGAGAATATCAATGCCATTTAAAAACAAGTAATTCAAATAGATTGAGCCAGTTTTATGCTAAAACGCTCTTCACGCTTAAATGGTGAGAGATCCAGTCAGAATGATATAGTTTCCACTAGGTGCAGCTTCTTTCATTGAGGATTTAGAATTCTCTTCTTTCTATGGTTGCCATACTAATACTCTAATGTGTGTGGACTACAGTTGCTTATCTAAGCAAACAATTGTAACTTCAAAAGCAGAAAAATAAGTAGGTACATTAATATCGGATCTTGCATCCAAAATATTAGATCATCTCACATATGAAGTTCTTATCATTTATGCATTACTTCCCATTAGCACTTGAGATCACCAATAAGAAACACAGGCAGGTGAAACACTTGGCTTAAAAATTAGCTGTAATTAGCTCTATCATATCTTGCATCTACTTGATTTGTTCACTTATTAACAAAGAATAAAGTGCTCATTCCACTCATAAACTCCAGCAGGGCAGGTATTTGGCTCAGTGGTTAAGACACTTTGGCATGTCTGTATCCCATTCCAGGGTGCTTGGGTTTGCGACTTCTCCTACTGATTCTAGATTCCAGCTACTGTGTACCTGGAGGGACAACGGGCTCAAGTCCTTGGGTACCTGCCACCCACATGGGAGACAAAAATTCAATTTCAGCTTCCTGGCTTCCATCTGGCCCTGCACAAGTTGTTGCAGGTATTTGGGGGCTAGCAGTGGATGAAAGTCTTTCTATTTTCCACCCCCAATCATCTCTTTCAAATTAAAAAAAAAAACACACCCCAAGCAATAGCCATAAAAACCCAAAAGATTATAGCATGAACTACAAAATCAATGAGCCAAAATTGTGTTAGTTTTGAAAACTTGGCCTAATGCTAGGAGAACATCCACTTGGTAATTTGGTATGGTTACTGAAGTTTCTGAAATGACTATTGGTTACAAATCACCTGCATTAAGCTATCCAGTGTCTACAATTAGATTTATTAATTTATTTATTTACTTAAAATATTATAGCCTCTTTTTTTCTTAAATATTTTATATATATTTTTTTTTATTGGAAAGTCAGATCCACAGAGAGAAGAGACAGAAAGATCTTCTATCTGCTGGAGTCTCCCCAAGTGACCCCACTGGCTGGAGCTGATCTGAGGCCAGGAGCCAGCTTTTTCCAGGACTCCCATGCAGGTGCAGGACCCCAAGGCTTTGCGCCGTCCTTGATTGCTTTCCCAGGCCACAATCAGAGAACTGGAAGGGAAGTGGAGCTGCCAGAATATAAACTGGCACCCATATGAGATCCCAGGCGGTTACAAAGTGAATACTTTAGTTACTAGGCTACCATGCTGAGTCCTCTTTTTGATATTTAAAAGAGCCAAAACTTGAGTGGCTTGTTTGTTTTGGTTTTTTGGTTGTTTTGAAGTTCTTTGCATATCCTGGAAATTAGCCCCCTATCACCTATATCGTGTGCAAAGATCTTCTCCCACTCTGTGGGTTGCTTTTTTACTTTGTTGATTGTTTCCCTTGCTGTACAGAAGCTTCTTAGTTTGATGAGGTCCCATTTGTTTATTCTGTTCTCAACTGCTATTGCTTTTGGTGTCCTTCTTAGAAAGTAGGGACCTACTCCTAGGTCTTGCAGGGTATTTCCTACATTTTCTTGCAAGAGTTTGAAGGTTTCTGGATGTAGGTTTAGGTCTTTTATCCATGTAGATTGGATCTTAGTGTATGGTGATAGATGTGGGTCTATCTTTTTGTTTCTACAGGCTATCAGCCAGTTGTCCCAACAACATTTACTAAAGAGGCCTTCCCACTTGCTTGAACTGTCATTGGTCTTTTTGTCAAAGATTAATTGGCTGTATCTGTGTGGGTTCCCTTTTGGTGCTTCTATACTATTCCATTGATCTTCCTTTCTGTCTTTGTGCCAGTACCAGAACTTTATGCTAGGCATGTGTTTGCAAGGAATGAATCTCAACTGAACTTGAACTATGGTTATGCAACAAGGTGGAGGAATCCACCATGGGGGGAGGGGTATGGGAGGGGTGGGGGGAATCCCCAGTGCCTATAAAACTGTACCACATAATACAATGTAAGCAACAATAAAAAAAAAATAAAATAAAAGAGCCAAAACTTAAGGTCAAGCACCCAGGGAAAGATAACATAATAAGTATTAACAGGCTAAACACGGATCCCTTAAATGGGGATCAAGCGCCTACATTCCCTTCTAATTGGAACTACATGCAGGGCAGGTACTAGTAGGGAGGTGACAAACATGACACTTAAGCAAAGATGGAATGAAAAAGATAATTTAATTATTTCATAAAACTCCATATAGAAATCATCTATAATGACTTTTATTTCTTAGGTAAAGGAATAAAATCCTTAAGAAGTTCTGCCACTTTATATATATATTTTTTATATATTATGAAATAATATATATCTTATGTATACATTATATACAATTTTAATATATATTATATATATCAAAGTGACTATGGATGGCTTTATAATAGTTTTCCCAAAAGAATAGATAGCACAAATTTGCCATTCATTCCTTTGTATTGGCTTAAGCACGAACTACAATTACTTCCCACATCATCATCCTTAAGAAATGTTAAGTGTCCTGCCCACCTCAATAGCTCAATGGCTAAATCCTCAGTTTGCAAACCCTAGATTCCCAAATGGGCTTGGTTTGTATCCTGGATGGTCCACTTCCCGTCTAGCTTCCTGCTTATGACCTGGGAAAGTAGTAGGGGATGGCCCAAAGCCTTGTGTCCCTGCACCCAAGTGGGAGACCTGGAGGAAGCTCCTGGGTCCTGGCTTTGGATCAGCTCAGCTCTGGCCATTGTGGCCACTTAGGTAGTTAACCAGTTCTCTCTGTAAAATCTGACTTTCCAATAATAAAAGAGGCAAACATGGTATTGTTAACTCCTGATTATTCGGGAAAACCTGGGCATGGGTTTCTATTGGATCAGGTTGTCTGTCAGGTTGTTTGTCAAGGTGAAGTCCCAATTTTAAAGCATGATGGCATTATGAGGAAAGGAAGACAGAGGGCACACTCCTCTTGGCCATGTGACATCCTGAAGCTGCTTCAGGACTCTGCCAGCAGGACCACCATCACCAGATGCTGATGGTGGACTGTGAGCCCCCAAAGCCATGATTTATAATACACCCCCTCCCCCAGAAGTAGTTTACCATAGGCATTTCATTACAATGATCAAAGCTCTCTAGCTTCGTTACAAGTGTGACCTGTAAGATATTTTTAAAGAACTAAAAAGAATTCAACTGAATTTGAATGTTCTTTTGCGATGACAATACTCCTATAGATAGTAAATATAACGTATATCACAGATGTCAGTCGTTTTTGTTTTCAAATAATCCATTTGCTCCAGTAAAATGGGCACAAAATAAAATGGTATGTAAACTACGCTTTTGTTATTGTTCATTCCTTCACCACCACCAGATTACTCACTCACATCAAAAGGGCTGGGGAAACACTCTAGTAATGAAAACAAACTGGAACTCTATTTGTGCATGTTAAATAATTACTCTGCAATTCAACACAGTACCTAACTCAGAACGTTCCCAAGAAGAAATGATGTTCATACCACCTAAATGCCAGAGGCATTCAGATATGAGAAGAACACAATGAGCAAGGCATTGTTATGACCTTCACACTATAAAGACCATGACAGAGCAGGAAATCATTTGCAGGCTATCAGCAACACCATCCTTTCTTAATTGCTATAATCATGCTGGGAAAGCCTGGATTCATTCAGTTGTATCTGCTACAAGGCAAGAAGTGGAGAAAGCTAATCCACTTTTTTTCAACAAATGAACACAAATATTTGTCTTTCTACGGAGTCAATTTGTATGTTAATGACCAGTCTCCATCAGATTCTACTCCCAGCACCAACAGTCCAAACCACCTTTTCTTGAGAGCCACAGAAATTTCTGAGAAAGACAGGTAATCCTAGACACAAAGTAAGCATGTATTAATGACTTGTAAATATACAAAAAAATTCCTCAAGTCTTTTTTTTTTGAAGATTTATTTGTTTTTATTGGAAAGGCGAATATGCAGAGGAGGAGAGACAGGAAGATCCTCTGTTCCCTGATTCACTTCCCAAGCGGCTGCAACAGCCAGAGCTAAGCCAATCCAAAGCTAGGAGCCAGGAACTTCTACCAGTTGCAGGGTCCCAAAGCTTTGGCCCATCATCCACTGCATTCCCAGGCCAAGAGCAGGGAGCTGGATGGGAAGCAAGGCTGCCGGGATTAGAACCAGTGTCCATATGGGATCCCAAAGTGTGCAAGGGGAGGACAATAACCATTACGTTATCACCCCAGGCCCCAAATCCTGAAGTAATTTGAAAAAAATCTCATTAAAAAAACCTTTATCTGCAAAATAACACGTTCTCAAACAATAAAAACTTGAACACAAAATTTACAAGAGTTCCTTAAAAAAGTCCATAAAAATGCATCTTAGAAAAAAACTAGGATTTAAAAAATATTTTGTACCAAAATAAAAATATCACTTTTATTTTTCCATGAACTTTTACAAGAATCTTTATATAATACATATTTAAGAAAAGTAACAGTTTCCCATTGTTTGTTTTTTCTTTTTAAACATTTTATAGTTTAATAAGATGCAATACAGGACATACATTTATGAAAATACAGTTCAGCATAAACTTGGTATTCTTCAGTGTTTTCTTAATTCTGTCAGTTAAAAGTGCAATTATTTTTTTTCCCAACACTAATATCACCATTTTTTTTTCTGTATCTGGGGTCAGGGGAGAAACAAAGGGAGAAGCTCCACCCAGCCTTCCACCCATCCCAGATCCCTGATATGGGGCACACTCCGAGGATCCTGCTCAAGCAGTTTTGATAGATCAGCAGTTCTGAATTGTTGCCAATCTTGCCATTCCAATTGCAATGAAATCTCTTCAAAATCCACTGGCTGACATACTCTCTTCATGGTTGGGGTTCTGAGATCAGC